CAGCCTGGGTTCCCTCCTTGCAGCACAGGGTGCTAACCAACTGCAGCACTTACAAGTATAGCATACACCATGCTGATTTAGTTGCTTTATAGATATGTCCCCATGTGAGCAGTGCATATTTCCAGGGTGTGGGGGTTGTAATTAATTCATCCCCATTTCCTCAGCTCCTCACTTTGGTTCATGAAGGGCCCAAGAAAAGTGTGGAGAATCAATGAACAGTGAGGGAGTAAATGAAGATTTGCTCAAGGTCAGACACTAGTAGATGAAAAGACCCTGACAGTAACAGGGGTAGGGGGCTAGGAGGAGGTAGCTCCCTCTGCTGGGCATCACATAACTGGCTAGATAAGCCCCCAGCCCTGCTCAGGCCCCACAATGCCCAACTTTGCTCTGTAGCATTTACCTTGACTTGTAATTATATCCAATTCTTTGTGTGACTATTCAAATCACATCCCTGTTCCCTATCAAACTTTAAGGTCTCTGAAACATTCATCCTAGCAATAAATGATTTTAGTATCCCAGTACCCAGTAGAATACTTGGCACATAGGTAGTTGTCCAGCAACTTGCTCTTTTCATCTTTTTTTTTTGGCGGGGGGAGGGAGGTCTGGTCGTGGGGCCTGAACCCTGGGCCTGGGTGCTGTCCCTCAGCTCTTCAGCTCAAGGCTAGCGCTCTACCACTTGAGCCACAGCACCACTTCCGGCTCTTTCCTCTTTCTGCTTATGTGGCGCTGAGGAATCGAACCCAGGACCTCATGCATGCAAGGCAAGCGCTCTACCACTGAGCCACCTTCCCAGCCCCTCTTTTCATCTTTTTTTAAAAGGCAAACAGAATATGCTTACTTGAAAGTAAAGAAAAGCTGTGAAAGAAAGTAGCAAAACTCTTCTTCATCTGGATAGGGGCCCAAAGGAGTCCTGTTAGAGGGTGGTTTTTATAATACAGGGCTCTTCTCATACCTCCTGAGCTTTATGTGGATTGCTTGATGTCTAGTTCTTGTGCATGCACTGCCCTGGCCCTTGTCATTGGTTGACTAGGTATCCAGGGCATTATGGGAAGAAGTAGCATTTGAGTAGAAATTTACAGCATTATGGGAAGAAGAAGCATTTGAGTGAGAGTGCATTATTGGCAACAAGAAGCACCAAGAAAAAAAGAAAAGAAGCACCACCAAGATGGGCCACATGTTCTCTGCCATGTATTAGGTCTGCCATCTTTTATTCCTATCTACCTAACAGTCCCTTTCATCTCTCTCTTGGATGGAAACCCTAATGGACAGAGTAGGGTACAGCAATTTGGGATCTTCTAGGAAGGTGTTTTAGGTGGACATGATGTGCTGTTACAGTGGACCACATTAAAACTCTGGATGATAATGTATATAGACTCCATTTCTACGACAATTTGTAGCTTGATGGACTTTAGAAGAAACAAGCTTAATAAGAAGATCAAGAACACAGGGTCCAAATATTATCAGAATTATAATACTAGATAAGAGTCCCAGGAGACATTTCACTAACTTCCTCCTACAGAAGAGCTAGGGATGTCTGGAAATAGGATTCCCCTCCTTTGTTATAGGAAAGACTGTCTCTCCCTGCTTTTGCCTTCAGATGGGCTTGAGAAGTTCTGGATTGCTGACGGCTCCCACTGGCATGCTCCCTGAAAGAGCAACTTGCTCTTAATCAGCTTCTACACTCATCACCTGCAAACCACCCAAGTCCCAGCGGTCCATTCTAGGAACTGGGCCAGGGCCTAGGCTAAGCCTGCAGAAAAACATCCAACATCCCCCTAGGTAGGATATTTGTTTGTTCCTTTAGCTTCCTCACCCTCTTCCCTTCCAGAGGGAAACCTTGACCTCTCTCTTACAGAAATGACTGAGCTTGACAGATTTTCCCCAAGTGCCTTGCTTTATCAGATTTCTGCTATATGCCAGATGTTGTTCACCATTTTTCTATCTGTCTCTATATTTTATTAAATTTCACACTAATGAAAAGAAAAATAGCTAAGCTAAATGTAGTAGTACATGCCTGTAATCTCAGCTACTTAAGTGTTAAGAGTCAGGAGAATGGCAGATTGAAGGCCAATGCCAGGCAAAATTATCTAGATAGATATGGATAGAGATAGAGATATGCCTAGCTATCCAAGAAGCCGAGATTTGAGGAACCTGATTGAAGCAAGCCAGGGAAAACAAATCTTCTTGCCTCTTCTCTCCAGTTAACGAGCAAAAAACTAGAATTAGAGGTGTGGCTGTATGCCAGCCATGAGACAAAAAGCTGAGCAAGAGTGAGAGGCCATTGGTTCAACTCTCATTCTGTCTCTCTGTATCTGTCGCTGTGTCTGTCTCTGTCTGTCTGTCTGTCTGTCTGTCTCTCTCTCTCTCTCTCACACACACACACACACACACAGGGTTGGGGGTGTGGCTCAAGCAGTAGAATGCTTAGGCCTTGACTTCAATCCTAATACAGTGAAAAAAATAGCCAACATTTTTAAGCACTTAGTACTACTGGGAGCATACTTTACATGTATCAACTGGATGGAACACTGGTAGCTGCTATCAAGAGATAGAAATGATTACTACACCTACTTATAGAGACAAACCTTATTGAGACAAACCAAGGTCAACCTGTTAAGGTCACAGATTAGAAAGAAAAGAGCTGGGCTTCACTGGAAGGCCCCAGACCCCCCAGGTTCTGAACAAGGTCTGACGTCCAGATTTAGATCTCAGGTAGAATAGGGGATGGGAAGGGCTGTTCCTCACCTAGTCTCTACAACCCCTGTCACTGATTTTCCTTTTTTTTGGGGGGGGGGTCCAGTCATGGGGCCTGAACTCTGGGCCTGGGCGCTGTCCCTCAGCTCTTCAGCTCAAGGCTAGCGCTCTACCACTTGAGCCACAGTGCCACTTCTAGCTTTTTTCTTTTTGCTTATGTGGTGCTGAGGAATCGAACCCAGGGCCTCAGGCATGCAAGGCAAGCGCTCTACCACTGAGCCACCTTCCCAGCCCTGATTTTCCTTTTTAAGAACTAACATGGCGCATCTAATTTTCTGCCCCCAGACTGTATAATTAAGCAAGACTAGACAGACTACAACCTTTTCTCTCTCCTTCTCCCCTGCACACTCCATATGTGCCTGCAGAAAAGCTCGATCTTCTCCGGGGGTGACAAGCTAGATTCTTCCTGGGGTGCTCAATTTATTTCTGCCTTAACCAAGATCCTCTCCTTTCCAGAAAGGGGGTGGCTTTTCTCCTTCCTTCTTTCTCTTTACCTTGTGCCAATCCTGAGGCTTGAACTCAGGGCCTGGGGTGCTGTCTCTGAACTTTTTTTGTTCAACGCTAGCACTCTAGCACTTGAGCTACAGGTCCACTTCTGGCTTTTTGTTGGTTAATTGGAGATGAGTTTCATGGATATTCCCTGCCTGCCTGGGATGGCTTCAAACTGTGATCCTCAGGTCTTAGTCTCTTGAATAGCTAGGATTATAGGCACTTCCTTCCCTCCCCTTCCTTCTTTCCTTCCTTCCCTCTGTCCCTCCCTCCCTTCCTCCCTTCCTTTCCTTCCTCCCTCTCTCCCTTCTTTCCCACCCTCATCTTTTCTGGGTCATAGGAAGCTCTTAGGGTACACAAGGGGGAACGGATGGGGTAGGACTGAGTGCTGCCATGAATAGGAAAAGGGGTAATGGAGTGGCTGTAGTAGTTTGGGTACATTATATGTACTTCTGAAGAGGAGAAGGATGAGCACAGAGAACATGTGGACCAGGAGGAAGAGATGGAAGATGAGCTATATCCAGTAGAACACACATTCATTCAGCAGAGTGTCTATGTACTCAAGGCTCTATGCATTCCAGGCTCTGGGCTCAAGATGTCTCTGGAGATCTTGGGAAATAAGCCAAGCTTCTCTGGTCCAACACCCTCCTCACTGGTGTTCAACCACCAGGATCCCATCCTGGGATAGATGGAGGCATCTTCCCCTACCAAGAGCATTCCCCTTCCCCAGAGCATTTCCAGGCTCTGGCTATAATGGCAGATGGATGGGATTGGTCAGGAACATTCCAGGAGACACTGACCACCGACCACCTCACCCATCCCAGGAGCCTCAGGAGTAGGAAGTAGTAGGAGCTGGCAGGGCCCACTCTCCCTTTATCTAAGTGCTCAGTCGGGAATGTAGTGTGGGTGTTCTGGACACCACTCAGCCCTAAGTCCAGTACCACCTCTCCCCTCCCCCAATGGCCTGCAACACCTTGTGCTGTTGACAGCTCTGGCGCCTCAGCCCAACCGCAGACCCTCAGGCTCTCAGGCTCATTGCCCACCCAACACGCCCCGGCTCCAGGCCTGAGCAGAGGGGCTCCTGATGGTCCCATTCCCTGGAGTCTAGAGTTGCTGCTGGGCACCCCCATGCTTTCTCCTTTCACTTTCCAGAGACTGCTTTCCTAACCCTCTCCTTGGCTTTTCTTATTCATTCCAGAGCTTTTCAAGTGTGTTGGCAGTCTGTTGGTGGAAATCCCAGCCTCCTGTCTTTGGGCAAGTTCCTTAACCTCTCCCTGTCCTCCTCTGTAAAAAGAAATAAAAATCCTTTTTTCCCCTGGCTGTGTTGTTGTGAGACTGAATAAATTGGGTATAACTCAGGGCATTTGACCAGTGCCTGGGCACAGCAAGCACTCAGTAAAGAGTAGCCATATCCCTGGGTCTCTACCTGTGGATACTGGTGACTCTTTCCTCTTCGTTCCTGGAGAAGCAATCCTGGGAAATGACCAATCCCCTAGCACTCCCTCAGCTACAGCTGATGTGAGAGGACTCTGTGTGTCTGCCGTTTCACAGGAAGGCCTGGGCTGTGGCGGGAGGAGCTCTGAGCTGGTTTGCCATCCATGGTCAATTCTATTAGATGTTCAAAGCAATGAGACCAAAATACAAATAGGCAACAGGGCCTGGGCAGGCCAGGATCTAGTGTTCCAATGACTCTAGGGAGTTGGGAAAGGGTCGACAGCTTGTTTTGGTGGGAAGAAGGAGAAGAGACAAGGGAATCTTCTTATTGCCTTTATTCCGCTGTCAGCCCAGCTAGCCACTGCAGGGCACAGGGCCAAGCTTTTACATACTCACCCATGCTCTCTGTGTACACATACACACACAAGCATGCGCCGATACCTGCGCACGCGCACATGCACACCCACCCACACACCCACACACATACACACACACGCACACATCCCATCTCTGGCTCTGAGAGTCAGTCTCTGGGGCAAGGGGGGGCGGGGCGAGGGGCTGCTCCTCAGTCTGCCCCTGCCTGCCCTTTTATGACAGCACCAAGGGCGGGGTAGGGGCAGGGCCCTCATCCCATACAACAAGTCCCTGTGCAAACTGGAGATGCAGCTGGTTTCTGGATGGGGGCGTCAACTTCCCCCTCCCCAGAGTGCCCTCCTCCAGCTCCTGAGGGAGGGACTGCTCTCTGCCTACCTGGGGGGGCCAGACCCCTGCCAGGGCTGGGCCCTGAGGAACCAGGCTTCCCCCTACCTGACCCTGCCAGGACCTCCAGCATTGAAGAATGGCCAAGTCTGAGGTTGGGGGGATTCCCCCCTGGAGAGCAGGAAGTCCTGGGCCCCAAGGCATGTGGGGAGGGGGTCATTACCCCTTTGCTAATCCATCTTCAATATGAAGAGGTTTGGGGTACACTTCCTGGGGAGGAACACAGGCCTGGAAGAGTCCCAGCTTGAGCCCTCTCCAACTTTCATCTTCTGGGCCACAGCCTAAGGCCAGGCATCCAAAAGTTCAAAAGTCCAGCCGGCTGGTCAGAGTCCCTGCGTAGTCCTCAGATGGGGGCATCCCCGGTAGAAAGCGGGTGTCAGACCTGTACGGGCAGTGTCTGGTTCATCTGCAGCCGCATGTCCTGGATACTGCTGAGGATCTTTTTCTGGTGGCCGGCCAGGGTGACCCCAATCCGAAGCAGGTCTCTGCAGATAGAGCAAAGGCAAAAGGTCAGCCTCTTCCCTCTTTTTTTTTTTTTTTTTTTGATACCCATCCTGGGACTTGAACTTAGGGCCTACGTGTTGTCCTTCAGCTTTTTCACTCAAGGTTGGCACCCTACTACATGAGCCACACCTATACTTGGACTTCTTATTAAATATATATATTTTTTAATTTGATCCACTATATTGCCTCCTGAGGAACTATGATGACAGGCCCACCTAGTCCCTCCACCTCCAAGGTGGAGACCCAGCCCAGAGCACCTGTCCTGTCTCTGCAAAAATGGTAAGACACTTACTCTGCGGTCATCTGGGCCACTAGGTCAAAGGATGCAAACCCAGCACTGATGAAGCTCTCCTTGTACCGCCCCATCTTGATGGCGTCCAGCCAGTCACCTACAGTCGTGAAGGTTGTATAATCTGGAACCGTGCGGTCCAGGAGGGGCTGGGACATGCTGTGGAAGAGAGTGACCTGGTGAGTCCTGTGGGCCAGGAATGTAGGGCTAGGGACACTGGCCTGAGGGAGCAGAGGCACTGACCCAGACTGGGCACTGGCGATGACCTTGAGGCTGGCGGCGTTGCGGATTAGCTTGTCCAGGGTGTTGACAATCTGTGAGAACTTGGGCCTGAGGTTCCGATCCCGCACCCAGCAGTCCAGCATAAGCTGGTGCAGTGCTGTGGGACAGTCCATGGGTGGTGGCAACCGGTAGTCCTGCTCCACAGCATTGATGACCTGGGCCAAGGGCAGGGGGGAGTGAGCTACATTCTCCGCCTCCCCAAACAGCTCCCACCTACCCAACCACCCTGGATGGCCCCCACTCACATCCTGGTTGCTCATGTCCCAGTAGGGTCGCTCTCCATAGCTCATGACCTCCCACATGACAATTCCGTAGCTCCAGACATCACTAGCAGAGGTGAACTTCCGGTAGGCTATGGCCTCTGGGGCGGTCCAACGGATGGGGATCTTTCCGCCCTGGTGGGGGGGGCACATGCCCTTCACCCTATGACTCCAGGCTGCCCCCCTGAACCCCTGAGCCCCTGCCTGGTTGGCCCCACCCATTAGCCCCCTCCCAGCTGCTTCCTGTACCAGGGAGCTGGTGTAGGTAGGATCCGAGGGGTCATCCTCCAGGAAGCGGGAGAGGCCAAAGTCTGAGACTTTGCAAACCAGGTTGCTATTGACTAGGATGTTTCTCGCAGCCAGGTCACGGTGCACATAGTTCATCTCAGACAGGTACTTCATGCCAGCTGCAATGCCCCGCAACATGCCCACCAGCTGGATGACCGTAAACTGTCCATCGTTGAGCTGAAAGCAACAGGTGGGCTCAGAGGGGCTCTCTGGCCAATGGCCTGCCTGCCTTCTCCAAGTCCTCAGACCCTGCCTCATCATTAATCATGTCTCCATGCTGACTGGACAGTTATGAGCTACCCTGCTATGTATAAAGCACCTTATATTAAGTAACCCATTGATCCCCATGAGAAGCCAGCAGCTCTTAACCATTCCTTTTTTGTTGTTGTTGTTCTAGTACTGAGGTTTAAACTCAAGAGTTGGGAATTGTGTCCCTTATCTTTTTCACTTGAGTCTATCACTCTACTATTTGAGCCACAGCTCCCCTTTAGACTTTTTGGTGGTAATTAGAGTTAAGAGTTTTCTGGCCTTTTCTTGCCCAGGCTGGTTTTGAATCCTTAAGATCTCAGCCTTCTGAGATTTGGTGGCATGAGCCACCAGCACCTGGCTTTCCCATTCTCATGTTATAATTGAGACAGCTGTGATTCACTTAGGGACCTTGCCTGTGGTCACACAGGCAGTAAGAGGCAGAGTGAGGGTGTGAGTTCTAGCTGTTTGGGTTCTGAAGGCCCAACTGTTTCTCTATACACACCATTTCAGACTTTGAATAAGGACTCTAGGCTTGTTGGCCTACTCTCTGAGGGGAAGGAAGAGGTGCTGGTTCTTACCCGAAGGAAGGAATCCAAGGCACAGTTCTCCATGAACTCAGTGAGAATCATAACTGGCCGACTTTTGGTGACCACACCTTCCAACCGGATAATGTTCGGGTGGTCAAACTGACCCATGATGGAGGCCTCACTTAGGAAGTCCCGCCGCTGCCTCTCAGTGTAGCCCACCTTCAGTGTCTTGATGGCCACAAATACCTCCCGGCGGCCAGGCTGTTTTAACCGACCCCGGCACACCTCTCCGAATTCCCCTGCGGGGCACAGGGCATGGGTCATAAGGTATTTCTAAGACACTCCCAGCATCCTGCCCAATTCCAAGGGTCATGGCCACAGTGCCCCAGGAGACTCACCAGCTCCAATCACCTCCTCAATCTTGACACAGGACACATCGATTTCCTTAGCAAACTCCCGAACAGCCTCATTGGGATCCTCATAGGTAAAGGGGTCAATGTAAACTTTCATTCCAGGAGCAACTATAGGGGGAAGAGACGGGCGTGCAAAGGTGACCTACCCATAGGCCAGAGACGCAATGTCAGGTGCAGGGATCTGCTGGGAGCGTACTCAGCTATCTTGCAGCTGAGGTGGGCCCATGCTCTGTGCTGAGCCCACCCCATACCCCCATGTAAGAATGCCTAGGGAGGGGCTGGGAAGGTAGCTCAGTGGTAGAGTGCTTGCCTTGCATGCATGAGGCCCTGGGTTCGATTCCTCAGCACTACATAAGCTGAAAAAGCCAGAAGTTGTGCTGTGGCTCAAGTGGTAGAGTAATAGCCTGAGCTGAAGAGCTGAGGGACAGGGCCCAGGCCCAGAGTTCAGGCCCACGACTGACTAAAAAATGAAAAGAAAAAAAAAAAAGAATGCCTAGGGAAGTTGGGGGCTGGTGGCTCACACCAATAATCCTACTTAGGAGGCTGAGATCTGAGGATCACAGTTCAAAGCCAGCCTGGTCAGGAAAGTCTGTGAGACTCTTATCTCCAATAAACCACCAGAAAACCAGAAGTGGCACTGTGGCTCAAGTTCGAAAGCACTAGCCTTGAGCAAAAGAGCTCAGGGATAGCACCCAGGCTCTGAGTTCAAGCCCCATAGCCTGACCAAAAAGAAAAAAAAATGCCTAGGGACCACAAGAGCTAAACACCTAGGATTCCTCTTCCTCCCTCATCTCTCCCCATGTCCAAACCTCTCAGCTACATACCTTCCCTCATTCTTTCTTACTGCCTGACCTTTTCCAGGCCTTCAACACTCAGACTATTGCAATAGTCTGGCGGCTGGGCTCTGTGCCTCTGGACTTTTCCCACCCAGCTACCCTATATCTTCCTGAAACAATGCAGCCATTGTCTTCCTCACTGCTTGAGCGCCTTCCCAATTACCTGTGGCAGAGTCCAGTCCAAACTCTGCCTGTCTTTCACGACCCTCCGAGGGCTGGCTGCCCTCTTCAGGCCTGGCTTCCCAGCAGCTGTCAAGATAGTCTTCTCACTGCCCCCACATCCCGGCACTCTCCCCACCCCACCCACTTCCTTCCAGAGGCTCCTCTGGGCCAGGAATGCTCTCTCCCACCTCTGGATGGACCCTGCTCATCCCACAGCCACCTCCAGGAAGCCTTCCTCATCTCTGAACTCTTCCTGCCCTTCCCCACAGGAACACCCAGCTTAACACTTAATTGTTCTCTAATTGTTTCCTGTGTGTGCCCATCTCTTTCCCATAGGACTAAGGGCCTTGGGGGCAGGGGTCACATTTTATTCATCAGTGGCTGGCAACGTAGGTGAGAAGGAGAGAGTACATGGAAATGGTGCTCGATTAGTAGCAGGAGGGGGTAGCCCAGGAGCAGGAGACACTCACTGTATTGCTGCAGCTTCTCCGTGTACTCGGCATCAGAGCTGTGCCGCTGCTTCCTGGAGGGACAAGGGAATGGCCTGAGGCAGGTCCCACCGGGGACCCTGAAGGAGCAGAGGGCACAGGGGAGGGGTGGGACCTGCTCACACAGCTGATGGTCACAGCCATCCGTGGGTCTCTGGGCAGGGAGAGGCTCAGTCCCCTCAGTCCCTGGGCCTGGGGAACCCGAGGGGAGGAAGGCATGGTGTAGAGGAACACGGGGCAGTTTCCTAGTATTGCAGGCAGATTCTACAGAGCTAAAGGGAATCCTCTACTCCATCCAGGAGGGCAACCGTAAACCTGGGAATACCTGAGGCAGACCACGGCAATGACCACGACTGCCACCACAAAGACAAGCCCGGCTGTGGCAGAGCCGACGATGAGGGGGAGCTGCTCCTGGAGCTGCTGGGCACCGGAGCCTGGAGACCAAGGAGGGACTGATGAATAGAGGGACAGAGAGGGTGGGCCGGAGCCAGGGCAGGGCCAGGCGCCAGAGTCCTTACCTCTTTCACTTGTGGTCTCGAACTCAGCTGGGCGGCTGTACTGCCCATAGCCAGCTACCGTGCGAGCACGGACCTGGACCACGTAGCGGGCATCAGGCCGCAGCCCGTCCAGCTGCACAGAGTTCTTCTGGCTGGTCACAGTGGAGGCGATACCTTCACTCTGCAATGTCCAGAGGAAGGAGCCATCCTCAGATGGGTTCCAAAGCCAAATGGCCCCTATCCACACTGGGCCCCCCCCAGGGTCCCCTCAGGGCTCTGGACTTTGCCTCCCAGGACTCCCTAGCACTGACCCCCTGTGTCCCAGTTCAGCCCCAGGCTCAGGCGGCCTTTGAAGCTCTGACCTTCTCAAAGTACTTCATCTCATAGTCCAAAATGACTCCGTTAGGCCGCTCCGGAGGCGCCCAGGACAGGGTCAGGCTGCTCCATGAGCTGCTGTGCAGGTGGAGTGTAGGCACTTCGGAAGGGGCTAGGGAAGAGCAGAGGGGCTCGCCATGGGCTCCCGGGGCCGCAACAGCCTCTCCCAGAGACCCAGTTCCCACAGGACCCCTGGGCAGGCAGCCCCTGGGCAACTGTGGCTCTCTCCAGGGGAAGATGACCCAGACCCTCTTCCCATGTCCCCTCCTCACCGGCCTGGTTGGTGGTGATATTGACAGCAGCGTAACGGGGTGGCAGAGGGCTCTTGCCGGAGACCCCATTGACTGCCTGCACCTCAAAGGTGTAGCGGGTGTGGGCCAACAAGTGGCTGATGTGGACCCGGCGTTCTGTCAGACCCAACTGCCGAGGTACAAACTCCACGTTGTCATCACAGCGCGAGCAGCTTGGGGGCCCGCCAGCCCCAGGGCCCCCACGACACTTCTTGCAGATGACATTATAGAGGAGGTCATCGCGGCCACCAAGGTCCCGGGGTTCACTCCACTCCAGGATCAGAGAGGTCTCATTCACATTGGAGATCACACCCCGGGGTGGAGATGGCACCGCTTTGGGGACATAGAGGGGAAAAAGCAGTGAACTAGAGGCCTTAGGACCACCCTTCTGCCCAGACCATCCTACCCCTGCTTCAATAAGCAGAATACTCTTCCTCCATTTCTTCCTTCGGCAGATTCTTGTTCACCCTCCAAAGCCTTAAGGCAACGTCACCTCTTCCTGGAAGCCCACCTTGATCAGCCTCTCCTCTCCTCCTTCTGCTCGCCCATAACACTATTCCCAAGCAACTTCCAATCCTATCACTTTGTCCTTGTCTGTTTTCAGCGCCAGCTCCTTAATCAAAGGGATTATATCTCACTTTCTTCCACATTCCAGGGCCCTCCTCCATGGTTAGAGTTGGTCCAGCAGAGGAGCAGTTCTATACTGAAGGAGCAATGGACTAGCAGGTCCCAACCAGTTCCCAATGCCTATCCAGGAGCAAGTAGGCATTTGTTACTGCTGGTGGGAGGGATGAGCCAGATGACATTATATAGGAGGCTCAGGTGTGGTTTCTTCTTAGCTGTGCCATCTTGAGCATATTACCTAAACCTCCCTGAACGTCAGTGATACAGGTGCTGACTGCATAGGCAGCTCCCCCTCACACCAGTACGGTCTGCAGCAGAACAGAGAGAACCCCCAGGTGCTCACTCACTGGTGCAGGCGCTGTCCGCAGAGTCCGAGTCTGCGCGGTAGAAGTTATTGTGGCAGGTGCAGATGCTGGCAGCTGGTGAGGTAGTACGGCTGTTGGAGGGGCAGGGGAGGCAGGGACCCTCTCCTTGCTTTGCCTTGTAGCTTCCAGGAGGACAGGCTGCGAGAGGGAAGAGGATGGTGGGTGCTTAGTTCTCTTCTCCTGTGGACATCACGCCTCTAGGCTTCCGTGAGAACCTGGCCGTTCCCCAGCCTAGGCCTTGGTCCTTCTACCTGCCAATCTGTGGGGGCAATGCTGGGATTGCCCAACTCCAGCTATAGCTACAAAAGGCCCTTTTGCCTCGTGGAAACCCCACGTCAGCGGATTCTTCCCCGCCCCTGCCCCCCTCACCCCTACCCTGGGGCCTCATGGATGAAGACGTCAGCCCCATCACCTGGACAGCCTGGGCTTGTTGAGGCAGGGCAGAAAGAGGAGGAGGAAGAGGAGAGGATGGGAAGGGACCACCAGTGCAGCACGCTGCGCTCTGCCGAGATGCCCAGCCCTCCCGGACACTCTGGGAAAAGCCGTTCCTGAGCACTCTTCTAGGATGCCTGGCCACAGCCTTGTAGGGCCTCCTCCGCAGGAGCCTCCTAGCCAATCTCAGCCCCACCCACGGGAGCAGGCAGCAGCTCCTTTCTGCCCTGGGCAGGGGTGGGGTTGTGAAAGGGTGGGAAATGGAAGGGAAGAAAACTGCTGGAAGCTGGGGTCACCTGAAGGTCAGAGGCTCAAAGCCTCCAAGGGGTAACTTGTCCCAAAATGCTAACAGCCACCCCCCTACCCTACACTCTTTTGCCCATCTCCTCCCTCCCTGCCCCCGCCCTGCCTCCCTGTAGCCACCCTCAGCCCCCTGGACATGGTCTCTACAAATTCCTTCTATCTAGGGTGGCCATATGATTTTACTCAAATTGGTATACTGTGAGATTGGAAAGGGGCACTAGGAATAATTATGTTAGGATAATGAGCATAATCCTAGACTGTCCTGGATCCACTAAGTATGACGAGCCTATTCACATCATGAGTTCTGGAGGGGTCACCCAGACCTGGCAATGCCCAGAGCTGGAGCAGTGCCCTTCTCGGGGGGTTTAACCTCCCCTCCAGAAGGTGATATTCCACTCTAGCTTTATGAGCCAGTGGGGGAGGGGGCAGAGGCCAGGCCAGTCTGGTTGCTATGGGAACCAGCGAGCACTTCCTGCCAGGGACCTGCAGAGTGTTAGCCCCTCTTCAGGCTGTCAGGCTCATCACCCCCACCCCCTTTCTCTACTTGGGAAGAGGAAGTCAGTGCAGGTTCCCTTGAGAAGTGGAGAGGAACAGAGCAAGGGCCTCAATCCTGGGCCTCACAATCAGGTGGACAGCCTAGGCCCTCATACCCATGGCTGTGAGAGCTATCTACGGGTACCAGCCCCAGACAAGAGTAAAGCCCCTGTACCTTGTCCTGTGTGCCACAACCATGGACTGGGTTCAGGGCCAGCCTTTACATTCCCTGGCTAGGAAGGTCCCTGAGACTCAATTTCTTTGCTGGCAAAGTAAGAAGGTAACTAGAATCCCCCTTATAAGGTTGCAGTAAGGTTCAAAGGAGAGAGCCCCATTCAGATGGAGGCCCAGTATATGATGAAGTCTCATCTTCTCCTCTTCATGAATGGAAAAGGGACCAAAGACCACCGTCCTCCCTGCATCCAGGCCCTCGGGCACCAGGACTACCACTTACACGGCACCAGCAATGTCCTAACAGCACTGCATGCTCACTCACTCCTCACTACAACCCTAGGAATCTTATTGTCCCCATTTTGCAAGGTCAAAGGTCACTTGCCCATGGCCACCTAAGTTGTGACAGTGTCAGGACTCAAGATTAAGCCTTGAGGGACTTAGTCACCAACTACACATTGCCTCTGAAGGAGCAGATGAGCCCCTGAGGTAAAAAGTCAACCATGAGGGTCCTCTGAGCTTCCAGGAAGAGGTATACATTGGTGGCAGGACAAAACAGTCCTTCCTGCCACCTCCTGTCTTTGCCAAAGGTCCTCTAGGCCTGCTTAGAATTCTCCACATCTCTCTTCCACTGAATTCTCCTTCCCTTTCTCCCCCCCTTCCTCTCTTTCTCAGAGCTGGGGATCCAACCCAGGGCCTTGTGCATGGCAATCAAGCGCTCCACCACAGAGCTGTGCACCCAGCCCTCATTCTGTGTCTCTCCTCATTTTCTCTCTCTCCTGGTACCCCATTCTCTGCCCCTGACTGTCCAACTCTTCCCATTCTCTTCTCCTACTCCCACCCTCTCCCCAAGCTCCACTTACGGCGGCACTGAGATTCCTTGGCAGCTGGCTCATGGCCTGTGGCACAGGTGCAGGCGCCCACAGGCACCATCCATTCCCCATCACCATTGCAGTAGAGCTTGAGTGGCACCGACACCTCCACGGCGTTCGCAATGCAGGTGCCAGGGGCAATGACCAGTGAGGTGGGCTCGGCCCCCGTGAGGGTCTCAGGGAAGAGCGCGAAGCCTGCAGTGGTGGATGCACACTTCTTGTAGAAGGCGCGCACGGAGATGAGTGACATGCAGGCACCTTGGTCCTGGAAGGCCAAATAAAAGCCAGCCTTGGAAAGCGGCCCGAAGCTTCGCACCTTGGTGTTGACCCGACCAGCATCGAGCCTTGAGAAGCTTTCGTCGGGTGCAATGGTGTCCACTTTGACGTAGGGGTTCTCCATCCAGAAGGGGGAGGACGCTGAGGCCACATCGCTGTCAGCTTCATAATAGAACAGGTTGAAGGTCTCCTTGCAGGAGCCGGGGATGTTGGGGATGCTGTTGCAGTCACGCACGGTGAACTTGAGCTCCACGTAGACCCGCTGTACATCCTGTCGCCAGATGAAGCCTGTGCGAAGCCAGTTGTTCTGGCTTGACTCATGCACGTTACACACCTGATATGTGCGGATGGGGTTCATGGCCTCATCGTAGCCACTCACTTCTTCCCACTGCGCGTGAACCATGCGAAAAAGGCAGTGAGTGCCAACACAGGCCAAGTGTTTCCCATGCTCCCTATCTTCTCCATTGACTTCACGCAGACTTGCTTTCATGGTTAATAGCTGAACACACAGACTATCAGGGTTCAGAGCCCAGCTTTCTGTGTGACTATGAATGTCAATTAACCTCCGTGTGCCTCAGTTTCCTCAACTGTAATCTACAGATAATAAAGCTATGTAAGGAATAAATGACTAAGCGAATAAGCATTTAGAATATAAGTGGTAACTTAAAAGATGCTTTTTCTGGGCCGGTATATCATGAGGAGGTGTTGAGCTCCCTTGCTTTTTGCAGCCCCCCCACCCCTTCCATCTGTGCCCTTTGAACTGAGCCTTCCTTCTCCAGTCACTTTCAGTCACCTTGGGCTCCAGGAAGAACCAGAGTCACTGATAAGCATTTTGAGACCGAAGGCAAACTGTCCCTCAAACAAACAATGGCATCTTCTTATTAGCTCAGAGGAAATAGCCAAAAACTCAGGAGATCACCTGCCAGGCAACTTGTTCCTATTCTGTTCCAGTGGTAAAGCAATAACTACTTTTCTGGAATTCCTCCAAGGACAAAGGCTGAGCTAATGGTCAACTAGGCCATGCCAGTAAGACTGTTTCAACTTTACAGACCTTTCTCACACCCCGCCCCCAACCCTCCCTATTTAACCTGAAGCCAACCTCTGAAGATGGCTGAAGATGTGAAGATCAACTGAAGCACTACCTTCAGTATTATGCTGCCACGTAATAAATCTTTTCATTTTTACCATGTATCTCTGTTTAGCATATGGGAGCAAGTGGCCGAATTTAAAAAGGGCCTCCTGGACTTTGGACTTACGGGGTCTAAAAACCCAGTTTCAAGAACAGAGTTAGGTCCTTCATAATTACTGCATGAGCATTAGCTATAAGATTTATCTTTAGGCTTCAGTTTCCTCATTTATAAACTGGAGCTGATTGGAATTAAGTGAGGCTGTGAGGAATTAAATAGTCAATACGAATATGGTTTGTGGCCTTGTGACCATGCCTGGGAGAGAGAGAGAAAGAGAAAGACGAGACAGAGACAGAGTTCCCCGAATCATAGTTGGCCTAGTGACTGCAGGGTCTGTGGTACTACCCAAGGGTCCAGGGCCCAGGCCAGCCCTCATGGCCATCTTGGGAAGTTAGAATGTTTTAGCGATATCAGGACTACAGGAATTTAATGGACAATAAGCCATGGCTGAGAAGAGCAAAGTGCCTTGTTCAGAATGGCACAGAAAGTTGGAGATCTGGAACCAAGGTTTCCTGGTTCCTAAACCAGCACTCTCTCAGGGACTTAGAAGGGAGGGGAATAGTTGGGATGGCTGCCAGGTAGGGGGAGAGGGAGGAAGATGATGTTCCTGGAGGAGGGCCCAGGCAGGGGTGAGAGAGTACCAGTAGAAGGTGACAAAAGGTGGTGAGGGTGACAGGTGAGGGCACAGGCACCCTCTCTGCAGGCCCAGGAAAGAGAGTAAGGACTCTAAAAGGGGGCAGTGGGCAGTGAACTAAGAGAATCTAACACTTACCCCACTTTCAGGATGAGCTGTCCATGCCAACTCCGATGTCACCCATTTTGTATCCATGAGGGTCTCTGGGGAACAAAGAAGAAGAGATCAGCTAATAATCTCCAAATGCAGAGGAACAAGTTGCCCTGATCCCCACTGGGTACCATACCTCTAAGTCCCCAAAGATTCTAGGAAAACCTTTAGGAAATTCTGCTGTTGTCCCCAGGGATGTCACCGCCCCAAAGATGTCAGGTCAGGCAGGCTGGGGGTGGGTGTCTGCCGCTGACCCCAGGCCTGGGTTAATGAGGCTGGAGCAGAGGCTGGTTCACACACCTACAGGCTCTGCTAATCTCCACACAAAGGGGCCAGCAGGGCCTTTATCCTGGAACAAAGGGCTGTGTGCTACAGCCCCTGGCAGCCCTGGCCTCCCCTGACTCCAATCCCAGCACAAAGACCCAGCCTCACACAAGGTCCAGAGGAAAGGAAGAGAGTGACAGGCTCAGGCCCACTCCCACCCAGCCTCCCATCAGCCACCTGGGGAAAGGGAGGAAGGGATAGGAATGCTTTTTGAGGTCCAGCACCAAATCCTACACCAAACTTGCCAGCAATCCTTGGAGAAGGTCTAGAGATAACTGGTAAAGCTGTTAGGCTACTAGGTAAAAGTGCATGAGGGGCTGAAGGGGGCTCAAATTCTGCTCTAGCTGACTCTGTGGTTATAAAACCCTGCCCTCTGACCATTCACCCCTCTGTCAAGTAAGAACAGGAAAGGGACTGGAAATTATGATGTGTACCAATCAAGCTGTTGTTACCCCTTCCAGGAAGCCTTCCCAGAATATCCTCTGAAGGGCTAGAGGTGTCAAGGCCAGCAGAGGCCGGGTTCTGAGCCCATGGCCTCTGCTCCTAGCTCAGTCATAGGAGGGGCCCATAAACATACCTGACGTACCCTCGCTAGGAACCTGGGAAAGTTCTACTCTTCTGGGGACAGAGACCTAGTAGTCTGTAGCTGGACAGGAAGGGAAGGGCTGCCATCTCCCCTGGAGCTTGGGAGTCTGGGCAGCCAATAATAGTTCAGCCCTCAAACGGGACTGAAATGAGCAGAGCAGAACCAGAATATCTGGAACCCTCTACATCCAAGGGAAAGGGGGCCAGATAAACCCACAGGCTTCAGGGGAGGCAGAAGACCTGGAGAGTGGACAGGGCAGCTGTGTCCCCAGACCCCCAGGGATAGCCCAGGCAGCAGCCACCCTGCAAGGAGCTGGGCTCCCTCCTGTGTGGCAGTAGCTGCTGATCTCGGGAGTCCAGGCTGCAGAATGAGCTAGCCCAGCCTCCTCCCTGTGGCCTGGCAGGCCCCCGTGGCTGACAGACAGACAGACACAGACATTTGGCAGGGGGTCCTGCAGGGAGGCAGAAGCTGGGGCTTGGTGGAGGCGGAGGGTGGGCTGAGGAGCTGGAGGGGTGTGCGGAGCGCGCTGGCTGGGAGCAGACAGCCTGAATGGCCGGCGGCGGACTACAAAAGACCGAGAGATGGAGAGACCAGGAGGCCCAAAGAGACAGAGAGAGACACGGAGGAGGAGGTTGCCAAGTGGTCTCTTCCCCAGCCGGCAGCCTGGAGTATTCTGGTCCCTGGGAGCAGTGGAGCTGAGCCTCGCGCACCCCCTCCCCCAAGCCAGCCAGCCAGCCAGTCCGCCTGCTTGTCTGCCCGCCGCCCGCCCGCCGCTGCCCGCCCGCCCGAGCAGGCAAGGGCTCCCACCGCTCCCTCCCGCAGCCTCCCTCCTCCCTCTCCCTCACTTCCTTCTGCTCAGCCGGTGCCAAACCCATCTGGAACTGTTTAAACCCAAATATTCAGCCCCCTCCCCCTCCAGCCAGATTCCTCCACAGTTTAAAACAAGCCCTGCGCTGGCTTCGGGAGGAGGGAGGGGCCGGTGGGGAGGCGGGCGCAGGAGGGAGGGCGGGCGGCTCTTCATTTCTGTTTAATTTCTGGGGAGCTGCGAGGGAGCGGGGAGAGAGGGGATCGGCCCCTGGCCATCGCACCGCCTTGGCCATCGCTCAATCTCGGCACATTTTTCCCATTAATGAGGAGAGGACTTGGATTTCGAGTCCTGTGCGCCTGAGGAAGGGCTCCGGTCACCCGGGTGGGGAGGAGGGCGGGCGGCTCTCGGTTTCCCCATTTCTGGGGGAGGGGAATGGAGGGGGGGGCTTATCCTGCAGCATGTCCACACACACACACACACACACACACACACACACACACACACACACAAGGGAGGCCAGGCCAGGGCCTCTTCTGTGCCCCAGCCTGATAGAGGTATCTGGGGGTGTCCTAGAACACATGTGTCCGTGGCATTTTCTCCTCTCCGTGTGTGGCTGTGTGCGTGCGCGTATACATATGCGCTAAGGACAAAAGAAGCACAAGTGAGCAACCTCCAAACTCTCCCAGCTGCTAACTGCACCCCACTTCTCTGCTCTACTAAGTTGGCTGTGAGAGGAGATGAGCGATGAGGACCACCCCCCAAACACAGGGCTCACACTGCCCCCCACCAAGTCACCGAGGAAGCTGGTTCAAAGCCAGGGTGTTTTTTTTGGGGGGGGGATTGGTCTTGGAGGCTCAGGAGCAAAGCAACCCTCTTTGAAGCTTGCACAGGGCAATGGGGGACAGCCACGTGGCAGCAGCTGTGTGGCCCTCACCTGTGCACACGCACAGTTGCACAGGCAGTACCCAGTTCTGAGGGGCTGCGCTTGTTCCCCACCACCGGGGCTAAAGAGTGACAAGTCAACACATATGGTGGACGAAAACACACAAAGCTACAGCCAGTCGGTCTTTTCCAGACACCCAGATGCATATGGTACAAACAGATTAGTCTTCCTTTGACATTCATATACAGTGGATTGTTCTTATGCACAGATCTCACTTGCCTTAGAGCCATCCTCTCAGCCTTCCTAGGGGCTCACACTCATACGCCCAACCCAGCCTTCTTGCACACCCACCTGCAAACACGATCACCAGCCACAAGGCTCACAGTCCAGGTGTGGAGTGCAAACACAAATATCAGTTTCTCTGTACAACTTGGTGATATGTCCTTACAGCCACATGGGGAGTTATAGTCAGATGCCTAATGGCCCTAGAACATGCCACAGCCCTCCTGAAGGATCATGCAGGCGCACTATCAGTTTATAGCTAAGTTTGTGCAAAACCTCAATGGTGCATCCCCCATGCACAGCACACACACACACATACACATACAGACACACACATACACATGCATACCCTACAAGTGTGTTCTTTCTCTGAGGTGTCTGCAAGTAGGACATCACCTGTGGGATGGAAGGAGGAATTGAGAGAGTGCGTCTCCCTTCTCCTGACCCCAATTCTGTGGTGCCTCTCACTCAGGCAGAGCAGCTACACAGGTCACTATTACAAAGCAGAGGTGCTGGGCAGCCTTGGCCACAAGCACTGGGCAGGTACAAGCCCCAGCCCTTGCTCCCAGTTGTCCTGGCTCAGTCAGGAGCTGTCAGTCAGGTCACGAGGCTAGAGGCGGGGCAGGGGTATGAAGAAGATTTTGGGAGTGGTTGGGTGCGGCCTCTCCAGGTATAGCCCCTGCCCAAGCAGCAAGCGCTTTCCCAGCCAGCACTAGGGCTCTGTCTAGGGCTCAGAGCCTTTGAGAAAGGGGTAGCACCAGGAAGAGATTTAGCCCCAGGAGCCTTCGGTCATACTGTGCCATATACTAGTTGGGGGCCCAGCATAGGGAGGACATTGTAGCACTCAGCTTGCCTCTGAGGGCCTCTTGAAGAGGTCTCTGAGAACCTGCCACTTGCCCTGGGGAAAGGCTAGAGCTACTACAACTTTGTGGAACTTTCAGGCTCCACTGTGCCTCCAAGTCACCCAGAGCATCCCACTCTGCAAACAGGAGTGCCACTGATACCCAGGAAATCAAAACAGGAACAGAGCAAAAACAACAACAACAAAAAGCCTACAGCCTAAACTCCAGCTTAGGTACTTCAATGATAGGAAAGGTCAAGTCCCAGGCCCTGGGCCTGCAGTCTGGGGCAGGAGGACAGAAGGACAGGGGCACGGGAAAAAGCATCCTGGGACATATATGTTGTGAAGGAGACTAGCTCACCCAGGGCCACCTTCCCACCCCTCCCCTGGTCTCCAGGCCACATGTCTGGGACAGTGGGGGGGGGGGCATCTCTGAACAGAGAACACATTTTGTTTTTCATTCTTGCCCTCAGATCACGGGGAATTATAATTAAATAAACCTGAGAGGGAAAAGAGGGAAGAAACACAAGGCAGGGAGCTCAAATGCCTCAGTACTCAGCAGTGCCCCCTCCCTAAGTTAGCCCTGCCAGCTAGACAGAGACCACAGACAGATAGCCCTCCAACCTTCTCTTGGGATGTGGGCCCCATTAGATCTGGCCAGGAGCTGAGAGCAGAAAGTCATAGGAGATCTGGCCCCAGGGTAACCCTTGGGCCAGGGGGCTGCCCCAGCCCATCAGGTAGCCAGCTGTCTTGTGCCCCCCCACCCCCAGCTGCCCAATCCCGACAAACCAGTTTGACTCAGCACAACAGGCAGGGCTACAATTTTCAAACTATGCAGGCCTGGTGATTCAGCCTCTTCTGCTGCTTAATTAGTAGAAGGCCGGTGGCGGTGGAGGAGGCCGTGCCCACGACAGCCTTAGCTTTAGCTTCTCAGTTGCTGAGGCCAAAGCGGTAGTGGATGGCAGCAACAGTGACAAACAAACTGGTTTCCCCAAATACCTGTCACTGTCCCTTCCCAGCAGTTCTGAAGCTCCAGCTCAGGATAAACAAGAATAAGATGGGGGTGGGGGGAAGAGGGAGGAAGAGAAGGGGAGAGGTGCTACAGGCAAGTCCAACAAAGGGAACAAGCCACAACAATCCTAGACTATTGTCACTTCGAGGCTTCCACATTCTCAGGGTTACTCCTCTGAGGAGAAGGACTGGCATACTACCTTTTCCCCAGTGTCAGGTTCCATGGCAGTGACTCCTCAGCTGGCATTGCTTGGCTGGCTAGAGCCTGCTAATAGTTTCTTACAATCTGCTAATAGTTTCTCCTTTCCTAGTCT